GACGTTCTTCTAACGAGGAGCCATGGGAGAGAGGAGGGGGGAGAGGGTGGGGAGAGAGGAGGGGAGAGGGTGGGGAGAGGGTGGAGAGGGTGGGGAGAGGGTGGGGGGGGAGGAGGTTCGCGACTCACGGCCTGATCGCTGGGGGGTCACGTGTTTGTGCTAATTATAATTAGGACCCCTCGTGATTCGTCATCACGGTCACGTGAATATGCTAATCAGTAGTAGTAACTCATCGATATGCTAATTAGTATGATCTCATCAATATGATAATTAGTATGAACTCGTCAATATGATAATTAGTATGAACTCGTCAATATGATAATCAGTAGTTATCGATATGTTAATTAACGTTGTGGGCTACCACACTGACTGACGGTCACGTGATTATGCTAATTATATTGAGGACCACGTGATTGGTTAATCAGCTGCTGATGCTGATTGTGATGATACTGATGATTGTGATGATACTGATGATGATTGTGATGATACTGATGATTGTGATGATACTGATGATGATTGTGATGATGGTGATGATTGTGATGATGATTGTGATGATACTGATGATTGTGATGATGATTGTGATGATACTGATGATTGTGATGATACTGATGATTGTGATGATGCTGATGATTGTGATGATGAATGTGATGATACTGATGATGATTGTGATGGTACTGATGATTGTGATGGTACTGATGATTGTGATGATACTGATGATTGTGATGATACTGATGATTGTGGTGATACTGATGATTGTGATGATACTGATGATTGTGATGGTACTGATGATGATTGTGATGATACTGATGATTGTAATGATACTGATGATTGTGATACTGATGATTGTGATGATGATTCTGATGATGATGCTGCTGATGTTACACTTAGTGATGATGATACTTAGCGATGATGATGCCGATTGTAACGAGTGCATCTTTCAATTAATAGATGAGAATTAAACAATTAGTAATGCCCTGCTCGATCCACTGCTGGATGAAGACCTTCACACTGTGCATGCATGAGTTCACCACCTCCACCACTGGTGGACTCATGGTGGACTACCCACACTTGACCACACCACCACCACTACACTGGTGGACTCATGGTGGACTACCCACACTTGACCACTCCACCACCACCACTACACTGGTGGACTCATGGTGGACTATCCACACTCCTCTACCACTAGTGGACTCATGGTGGACTACCCACACTTGACCACTCCACCACCACCTCTACACTGGTGGACTCATGGTGGACTACCCACACTTGACCACTCCACCACCTCCACCACTGGTGGACTCATGGTGGACTACCCACACTTGACCACTCCACCACCTCCACCACTGGTGGACTCATGGTGGACTACCCACACTTGACCACTCCACCACCTCTACACTGGTGGACTCATGGTGGACTACCCACACTTGACCACTCCACCACCACCACTGGTGGACTCATGGTGGACTACCCACACTTGACCACTCCACCACCATTGGTGGACTCATGGTGGACTACCCACACTTGACCACTCCACCTCTACACTGGTGGACTCATGGTGGACTACCCACACTTGACCACTCCACCACCACCACTGGTGGACTCATGGTGGACTACCCACACTTGACCACTCCACCACCTCCACCACTGGTGGACTCATGGTGGACTACCCACACTTGACCACTCCACCACTTAACCTCCCGTCCAGCGGCACACGTTCCAAAAGTTCAGTGACGTCGCACGATAAAAATTTATATTCCAATCAATATTATAATTGTCAATCATTGAACCAATACTAAAATCGTAATATTGATAAGCAGTCACACCGGGCACGACGATCAATAGTAGCATTTTCAATCATCGGAGCAATACCAAAATCATACTTTGCATAAGCAATCACAGCTGGTACTACAATCAACAGCAGCATTGATAATGTTTGGAGCAATACTCCGTCCATAAATGACGTCACGCGATTTTGGACGATTTTTGACCCCCCCCCCCGCGTCACAAATGTCTGACCCCTAAGTGCGTGACGTCATTTATGGGCGGCCCCTATGAGATCGAGTGCTATTTTAAATCATAGATCGGTTAAGTATTGTATATCACAATCAATGGTAACATTTGTAATTAAGTGGCATTACAAAATAATAAGATTAACCTTTAAGTGTATTTTAAAATCATAATATGCATTGGCATAACTGTATTGTGATACTTATTGATATTACCATTTATCAGGAGTCACTTTAAAACCTTTAGATACATTTAACCATGTTATTTTAATACCTAGCGTGCATAAGCATGTCTATAATCCCTATGAGTAAGGCCATGGTAAAGCAGGCCCGATTTAAAATTATGTTAATTAACTAAATTAAGCCAATAAGCATACACAAATCAGTAGTATGTTGAAAGTCAATGCAAGTTAAAATCGTACCACGGTTAAACACCGCGGGGAGTGGGTAAGTGGCTGAGTGAGTGGGTGAGTGGTTGGGTGAGTGAATGAGTGAGTGGGTGAGTAAGTGGGTGAGTGAGTGGGTGAGTGGGTGAGTGAGTGGTTGGGTGAGTGGGTGAGTGAGTAGGTGAGTGAGTGGGTGAGTGAGTGGTTGGGTGAGTGGGTGAGTGAGTAGGTGAGTGAGTGGGTGAGTAAGTGTAGGTGAGTGAGTAGGTGGGTGAGTGGGTGGGTGGACGAGTGAGTGGGTGGGTGAGTGGGTGGGTGAGTGGGTGAGTGAGTGAGCGAGTGGGTGAGTGGCTGAGTGAGTGGGTAAATGGGTGAGTGGATGAGTGAGTAAGTGGTTGAGTGGGTGAGTGGGTGGGTGAGTGGGTGGGTGAGTGAGTGGGTGGGTGAGTGAGTGGGTGGGTGAGTGGGTGAGTGAGTGAGTGAGCGAGTGGGTGAGTAAGTATAGGTGAGTGAGTAGGTGGGTGAGTGGGTGGGTGGGTGAGTGAGTGAGTAGGTGAGTGAGTGGGTGGGTGAGCGAGTGGGTGGGTGAGCGGGTGGGTGAGCGGGTGGGTGAGTGGGTGAGTGAGTGGGTGGGTGAGCGAGTGGGTGGGTGAGTGGGTGGGTGAGTGGGTGAGTGAGTGGGTGAGTGGGTGGGTGAGTAGGTGATTGAGTGAGTGGGTGAGTGAGGTGAGTGGGTGGGTGAGTGAGTGGATGAGTAGGTGAGTGAGTAGGTGAGTGGGTGAGTGAGTGGGTGGGTGAGTGGGTGGGAGAGTGAGTAGGTGAGTGAGTAGGTGCGTGGGTGGGTGAGTGAGTAGGTGAGTGAGTGGGTGGGTGAGTGAGTAGGTGGGTGAGTGGGTGAGTGGGTGGGTGGGTGGATGAGTGAGTGGGTGAGTGAGTGGGTGAGTGGGTGGGTGAGTGAGTGGGTGAGTGAGTGGGTGAGTGGGTGGGTGAGTGGGTGGGTGGGTGAGTGAGTGAGTGGGTGGTGAGTGGGTGGGTGGGTGAGTGAGTGGGTGGGTGAGTGGGTGGGTGAGTGGGTGGGTGGGTGAGTGAGTGAGTGGGTGGTGAGTGGGTGGGTGAGTGAGTGGGTGGGTGAGTGGGTGGGTGAGTGGGAGAGTGAGTGGGTGGGTGAGTGAGTAGGTGGGTGAGCGAGTAGGTGAGTGAGTAGGTGAGTGGGTGAGTGGGTGGGTGAGTGGGTGGGTGAGCGAGTGGGTGAGTGAGTGAGTGGGTGGGTGAGTGGGTGGGTGAGTGGGTGAGTAGGTGAGTGAGTAGGTGAGTGAGTAGGTGAGTGAGTAGGTGAGTGGGTGGGTGAGTGGGTGGGTGGGTGAGTGGGTGAGTGGGTGGGTGAGTAGGTGAGTGAGTAGGTGAGTGGGTGGGTGAGTGAGTAGGTGAGTGGGTGGGTGAGTGGGTGGGTGAGTGGGTGGGTGAGTGGGTGGGTGGGTGAGTGGGTGAGTGGGTGGGTGAGTGGGTGGGTGAGTGGGTGGGTGAGTGGGTGAGTGAGTGGGTGGGTGAGTGGGTGGGTGAGTAGGTGAGTGAGTGGGTGGGTGAGTGGGTGGGTGGGTGAGTGGGTGAGTGGGTGGGTGAGTGGGTGAGTGGGTGGGTGAGTGGGTGAGTGAGTGGGTGGGTGAGTGAGTGGGTGGGTGAGTGGGTGGGTGAGTGGGTGGGTGAGTAGGTGAGTGAGTGGGTGGGTGAGTGGGTGGGTGGGTGAGTGGGTGAGTGGGTGGGTGAGTGGGTGAGTGGGTGGGTGAGTGAGTGGGTGGGTGAGTGGGTGAGTGAGTGGGTGGGTGAGTGGGTGGGTGAGTAGGTGAGTGAGTGGGTGGGTGAGTGGGTGGGTGGGTGAGTGGGTGAGTGGGTGGGTGAGTGGGTGAGTGGGTGGGTGAGTGGGTGAGTGAGTAGGTGAGTGGGTGGGTGAGTGGGTGAGTGAGTGGGTGAGTGGGTGGGTGAGCGAGTGGGTGAGTGGGTGAGTGGGTGGGTGAGTAGGTGAGTGAGTAGGTGAGTGGGTGAGTAGGTGAGTGGGTGGGTGAGTGGGTGAGTGAGTGGGTGAGTGAGTGGGTGAGTGGGTGAGTGAGTGGGTGAGTGGGTGGGTGAGCGAGTGGGTGAGTGAGTGAGTGGGTGAGTGGGTGAGTGGGTGGGTGAGTAGGTGAGTGAGTAGGTGAGTGGGTGAGTAGGTGAGTGGGTGAGTGAGTGGGTGGGTGAGTGGGTGGGTGAGTGAGTGGGTGAGTGAGTGAGTGGGTGAGTGGGTGAGTGGGTGGGTGAGTGGGTGGGTGAGTGGGTGAGTAGGTGAGTGGGTGAGTAGGTGAGTGAGTGGGTGAGTAGGTGAGTGGGTGAGTAGGTGAGTGAGTAGGTGAGTGGGTGGGTGAGTGAGTGGGTGAGTGGGTGGGTGAGTGAGTGGGTGAGTGGGTGGGTGAGTAGGTGAGTGAGTGGGTGGGTGAGTGAGTAGGTGAGTGAGTAGGTGAGTGGGTGGGTGAGCGGGCTAGAGTTGGTAGCGAACTCTCCCCGCGATGTTTGCGACGTGGGCCGCGTGCCGAGCGAACTCCGCGTCGAAGTCTGCGGCCTGCGCAGCGGAGAAGTGGGACACCCAGTCCCCCACGTGACCTGGGGTGGTGGGGCCATCAATAAGAACAGACAGTCCCCCACGTGACCTGGGGTGGTGGGGGTGGAGCCATCAATTAATACAGACACCACGTGACCTGGGGTGGTGGGGGTGGAGCCATCAACAAGGACAGACACCACGTGACCTGGGTTGGTGGGGGTGGAGCCATCAACAAAAACAGACACCACGTGACCTCGGGTGGTGGGGCCATCAATAAGAACAGACACCACGTGACCTGGGGTGGTGGAGCTATCAATAAGTACAGACAGACACCACGTGACCTGGGTTGGTGGGGCCATCAATAAGAACAGACACCACGTGACCTGGGGTGGTGGGGGTGGAGCCATCAACAAGGACAGACACCACGTGACCTGGGTTGGTGGGGGTGGAGCCATCAACAAGAACAGACACCACGTGACCTCGGGTGGTGGGGCCATCAATAAGAACAGACACCACGTGACCTGGGGTGGTGGAGCTATCAATAAGTACAGACAGAC